AGGTCTATGGCCTGAACCTATAGATCTTGCTTTCTCCTGACCACCTGCTGCTCTCAGACCTGTCTGGGCTTGCTGAACTAAAACTGGGGGCATTTCTGCTTCCCCTTCTCCCTGGTCAGACAGCACAGCCATTCAGCACTGAGGAAGGTGCCTGGGCCCTGCCAGGTGGGTGTGATTTACCATGTTTTTTATGGGTGATTATGTTAATTCAGAGCAAGGAAACACTGCATGGTTTACAATTAAGAAATGTGTGTGTCAGGGTTATATTCTTTCTCCATACTTACACATTGTGTTTGCTGAACAAATCGTTTGAGAAGCTGGGCTATATGAAAAAGAATGTGGCATTAGGATTGGAGGTAGACTAATCAGCAAACTGTGTTATGCAAATGGCACAACTTTGCTTGCTGAAAGTGACGAGACTTGCTACAGAAGATTAAAGACTACAGCCTTCAGTATAGATTGCATATTGATAACAAGTAAACAGAAATCCTCACCAGTGGACCAATAGGCAACATCATGATAGAAAAGATTAAAACTATCAGTTTCATCGTACTTGGATCCACAATAAACACCCTTAGTACCAGCAGCAGGAAATCAGGAGATATATAACATTGGGAAAATCTGCTGTGAGTGGCCTCTCAGATTACTGAGGAGCGTGGATGTCAGTTTGAAGACTAAGGTGCATCTGACTCAGGCCATAGTGTTTTCAGTCACTTTTCCACCTGAGAACTGGACATGAATAAGGATGACAGAAGAGTTGATGAGTTTGAGTGGTGCTGGAGAAGAGCACTGAATATCCGTGTACTGCTAAGGGAACAAAAATCTATCTTGGAGAAAGTAACCAAAGCCCTCCTTAAAGACAAGGATGACAGAATTGCATCTCGCACACTTTGGGCATGTTGGTAGAAGAGGCAGTTCCTTGGAAAGGGACACCATGCTTGGAAACGTGAGGGGTCAGCCGAAGAGTATAAGCTCCTCCCTCAGCCAGGGGGACGGACACAGTGACTGCAGCAAGTGTACCAGAGCTGCTGAGGATGGCGCAGGGCAGGACTGCACTCAGATCTTTGGTTTATACAGTCGGCTGTGAGTTGCACCTGACAGATGTTGATGCAGAGGTGCTCTGGTGCTCTGTGGTGTAGGCTGCTAACCAAACGGTTAATCACCAGTTCATCATTGAACGCATGATGGGCAGCCTTGCAAATCTGCAGACGCTCAGCTCCGAGTCGATCCTGCAGCTTGAGTGCCCCAAGGACCCAAGAGAGCCCTTTCTCCCCTTGCCAAGAGCGTGTACAGGGGCTTCCTGATTGATGACACGGTTCTGCTCAGTGACTTGGTTGTAAGTCAGTGCTAATACGAGTTGGTTACCTCTTTTTGGTGTATCTATTTAGTATTAACCTTTTACCGTTGTTGTTGTTGTGTACTATAGAGATGGAACTGAGCCATAGCTGACCCTCTGGTGTGTTTTCAGAGGAAGTTATTTGCATGGGAGGAGATTGCCCATCCTTCTCCCACCGAGCAGCTGGTGGCGTCGAACTGTGTGCCTTCGGGACTGCAGCACAGCTTCTTGCCAGTAGGCCACCAGTGCTTCCTTTTACCATTGGTAAAACCCAATATTTGAACATCAGAGAGTGATGTCATCAACTAAGTATGCGTTGCAACCTTGTCTGTAGTAGATGCTCCTTGTGCTGAGATGGTGAAGAGCAGACGGCTGTCAGTGCAGCCCGTCCTCCCCTGGCTCTGTCCTCGTGAGTCGGAGACCTTCAGTGCTGCCTGTAGACTCAGTCCCCAGCTTGCTCACCAGGGCCACCGTCTCAGTGAAGATGCTCTGTAGAGTAGGACAGGTATGTTAAGACACTTGTTTCAGGTCATTGTTTGTGTGAGTCTGGAAGTTGGCGGGCATCAGAACTGCAGGGAGGGTTGGCATGGTGGCCGTCCTCAGGCAGGAGCTGATGTCTGGTTGCTAAGTGGGTGACCAGCTTAGCAGGGAGCTCTGGGGGTGTGGTCCATGACGCGTTGGACTGCAAACTCAGAGGCTGTGAGTCTCCAGCATTTCACATCCCGCAGCTCAGCAGGAGAGAGATGGGGACAGCCATGCAAACCCAGTGGGAACCGACTTAGCAGCGCTGAGTGAGGGTGACGGTTAGCCCGGTGGTCCTGTGGCAACAGTGTGCAGTTAGGTGCTTGGCTGCTACCCACAAGGTGGAGGGTCAAACCCACCAGGGAGAAAGATGTGGCAGTTGGCTTCCATCAAGACTCAAGGCTGGGAAATCCTGTGGGGCAGTTCTGCGCCGTCCGGGTCACTGTCATGTCACACAGATGGGGTGACAGTAGGATAGCCTGAGAATGCTTGAACCACCCAGCAGTTAACTGGTACCTCACAGCGACAACAACTAAGACTAAACAAAAATCAAACAAAAAAACCCCGACCAAACCCCCTGTGAGTGGTATGATTCTGACTCAGAGCAGAACTACCCCATAGCATTTCTGAGGCTGTAAATTTTTCTAGGTGCCAACTACCTCATCTGTCTCCTACGGAGTGGCTCGGAGGTTTGAACCGATGATCTTGGGGATTAGCAGCCCCACGTGTAACCCAGCATGCATGTTACTAACAGAAGGGTACCTTGTGAAGGATCCTAGGTCAGACCTACCAACTACTCCAGGAGATGAAGATGTGGCCCTGGAGGCTTTGGAGGTACTCGTTCTCCCTCCTGTAGGATGGCCGTGCGTGGATGGCAGTGGGTTCGGTGTGGGTTTACAGCCTAGCCACACTGGCAGAGGAGACTTGCCTCTCAGTCCTCCTTCCACAGTCGTCTCACCTCCCCTGGCCTCTGTTTAGAGATCACCTCGTTCTGTCCAGTGACTCTGAACCAAGGAAGAGTCCTCCGCTCTTTGTTGGTTGGGTCTTCTGTCAGCTTTATGTGTTAGGTCTTTTTAATTGCCTGCTTCTCTCTGGATATTAATTCTAACAAAGCACTACATACACTGAAGAAAAGATGGAGTTAGGGGAAGTCCGAGGAAGAAGGGAAAGTGACAAGCCAAGAGTAATTGTCTTGAGTTTCGACAGCAAGCATGGCTTATGAAGATCAAGCCGTATTTCTGCTTCATGTATCATTGTCAGACAAATTAAGAACATATTGCTTCTTATTTATCTATTGTCAAGGATGCAATATCAGGCATTGAGAATAAATCTTGTTTTTCATAAGCTCTATGGACACTGTGGAGCCACAGAGCATAAAACTTGCATCTGATAAACTAAGTGTGCGGCGGAGCAGCAGAGGGTGTGATCCCAGGAAGACTCAGAGCTGCGTTCTGCTCCTCCTCCCTTCCGTTAGTAACGTGTGTGCTGGGTTAGACGTGGGGCCGCTGACCCACAAGGTCAGAGGTTCAAACCCCCGAGCCACTCCGCGGGATAAGGCATTTGGGGCCTAGAAAGATTTATTGCCTCAGAAATGCTTTGGGTTAGTTCTGCTCTGAGCCAGAATCGTACCACTCACAGGGGGCCTGGTTCTTTGGGGTTCAGTCTTAGTTGTCCTTGTTGTGAGGTGAGTACAACTCATAGCGACCCTGTTAACAGCAAATTAGAATCCCATCCTATCCTGCCTCACCCTCAATCTCTGACACACTCGAGCCCATTGCTGTGGTCATTGTGTAAGTCCACCTGGTAAGTCCTAGTAGGAAGGAGGGTTTTTTTAATATACTAAATTTATTATGATAATCCGGGAAGTTCTGGTTTTCAGTGCATTAATTCCCCCTAGATCTTAGAGAGCAGGTATGACTGTGTATTTGGTGAGTTTCTTCATCATAGGATTCCTTCCCTCCACATCTCAGTATCTGCTTTATTCTCCCAGCTTTCCCACGCCCTTTCCCATAAGCAGTTACTGGCATGTGACCCCGTGCATGTTAGCGTGACACTGTGCTCCAGATGGTCATCTGTGGCAGCTTTTTGATAGTGGATCACCAGTACTTTTTTCCGAGGACTCTGGACGGACACAAACCTACCACCTTTCAGATATCAGCCAGATGTATTAGCCATGTTCACCTCCGGGGGCTCCCCCTTTTTCGTGCTGACTGATTAATGAGTGTTAAATGACTCCATCACTCCTGGTTTATGAGGGCCCTCTGCAGTGATTGATCATGTTCTTTTCATACTGTGTATAAAGTTACCACTTCAGTAATTTTTGGAGGACACTTAGCTGTCTGAAATTCCTAGTAGAAATTTTTGAAGTTGAAATGCAAAAGTTTTGACTTGAGTAAAGATAAAAGACCTCACGATGTAAAACGAGAGACACTAGATAAAGAATGTAAATCCTTCAAATAGTAATAGAAGTTTAAGAATGTAAATAAACAATTTAAGTTCTCTAATACTGCACTGCAACATCTCACCTCTTCAATTCCCCTAATAGCAGCATTAGCATCCATATCCTGTAACCTAAAGCTTGGTTTTAGACTTTAAAAAAAAATGTTCCCTAAAATTTAATGTTCAGTGACAGGAAGCAGATCCAGGCGGCCTGGGGGGAGGTGGGGAGGATTGATTGCAAAGGGATACAGGGACCTTGTTTAGGGTGATACAAATGTATAAGGTTGTCAAAACTCATCTAACTGTATACTTTCAATGAGTGCATTTTATTGTGTGTGGATTATACTTCAGTAAAATTGATTTTAGAAAATGTGCTTTCATGTTATAGCATTAAACCTAATAGAAGCTGTGACCTTTAATCATTGGACAGCGTCCCCTTTCCCGCACACCCCAGCTTACCCCCACAAACAAGTAAATGAACTGTTTAAATGTCAGACAAAAACCCACAGTAGCAGGAAAATACATTTAAGAAGCAGGTGAAATTGTGTGGAGGACCTGGTTGTCTGAGGTGTCGAGGAGGGCGTGCCAGAGGAATCGAATACCCCTGTGGTGGCTCTTCTGAGGTCATCTGGGCCCAACGCAAGAGAAGGAGAGGGACCAGCAACGGGCTGGTTTCTAAATGTGCCTCAATTCTTTGTGGCAGCTGTTACGAAGCTCTTTGGTGAATAACAGGACGCAAGCCAAGGTAGCAGAGGAGCTTGGCATGCAGGAGTACGCCATCACGAATGACAAAACCAAGAGGCCCGTGGCCCTCAGGACCAAGACCTTGGCGGACCTTTTGGAATGTGAGTCCCACTAATTACACCTCTTACCTTAGCCCTCTGGGTCAAGATTTAGACCAATACTTTATTCTCCTCACTGTTAAGTTCTGGCTAAAGAAACCGCTTTCCTATTTTAGTTTTTGTTTATGCTTTCTCCAAACCTTGTTTGATGGAGAATAGTTTGGGACTAAGACTTGTGAATAATGAGTTTCATTTTTAGTCTTGAGCTCAGCAGAACCGACTCTGTGCCCTTATCCCACCCTTACCCATAGTTCTCTTTGGTAAGACAGGAGGAGAGCAGTAATTGTTGACCATAGTTTTTTAAAATGTATATTTTTATTTACTATTTTTGACCACTCAGTACATTCCAGATGGGGGCACAGAAATAGAAAGGTAATATTCACTAAGCGCTAAAATCATAAAATCATTATCCCTTGTTTTGAATGAGCTCACAGTTATGGACAAATGTCATTTTCACAATTTTGGAAATGCTCTGGTGACCTTCTAAATAACCCTATTATAGCTAACTAAAGGATTATCCACATAATTTTATTGGTTCTTCTAAATAAATGGGCACGCTACGGGGCCTTTGTTGTTGTTGTTGTTATTATTTACTGTCACAATATTTTTGGCATTATACACTGAGTTATATGCAAATATTAGGAGCCTCCATCTACAAGATGCAAAGGTAATCTGACCAAAGAATTTAAAAGAAATGTAATTTTCAGTGACAAAGAAATGACAGATTATTTTCTCCCCCCCCCAAAAAAAAAACTCAAGCTGATAAATCATCTCTGACTTCTAATGTATTTCTTTTTAGTGGATTGAAAGATACTTGTATTCCCTTCTATAAAAAACAAAAACAAAAAAAATCCCAAAAAAAACCCACAACAAACCCAAAACCAAAACACAACACCTTACCATTTCTCTGCCTGGCTAAGGTACCTCTTAATGACTTCACCTTTGGAAGTCACCCTTTATTAGCAGAGAGGAGAATGTATTTTTAGCTTGTCATTAAGGCTTTGTCTATTTGGCCAGATTGCATCTATAAGATGTCCCATTCTCTTCATGAAGTTTAATATAGAAGCTTTGTAAATGGGCAATTTCTTCAAGATTGATGCCAAGAATGGCTGGCCTCAAGGATGTGCCCGTACTGATGTCATATCTCATCTTCAAGTTCTCCTTTGATAGATTTGATGTTAACTTGACATGTCCTCAAATAATACACCTTCCCTGCCACACAGCAGCGTTTTGTGCATTGCTTCAGCTAACTATGCCTTGAGCCCCTGCTGGTCACTGAATGCAGGTTTGGTCTCATGTGCTCTGGTTTTGCATCCTAATCCCAGATCTGTGTTTTTTTAATACTGGTGATTAAAACTAGACTCTTGTTTAAAGAAAGATGAAATGGTAATGCTGAAATTGAAAACCCTTTTCCTTAAAAGTCAATGTTTCTTACTTTTTCTGTATGTGCCACGGAATTAAGGTTTGTTTTAAAATGTTCTCTCTTTTCTTAGCGTTCATTGCAGCACTGTACATTGATAAGGATTTGGAATATGTTCATACTTTTATGAATGTCTGCTTCTTCCCACGATTGAAAGTAAGGTTATATATGACTCAAATTAGTGGCATACTTTTATGACTGATGATTCCAGAAAGCTTGACTAACTGCTTGTTGGGAACTTTACGACAGGAGTTCATTTTGAATCAAGATTGGAATGACCCGAAATCCCAGCTTCAGCAGTGCTGTCTGACTCTGAGGACTGAAGGGAAGGAGCCAGACATTCCTCTGTACAAGTAAGTCCCCTCTGCCCACTGTTGCCAGATCCGCCTGCTCAGAGCTGATTCGATGATTCTCCTGTGACACGAAGGAGAGCTGGTCATCTGGGCTGTGGATCCAGGAACCTTGGATTGACGTCCTTGACAGGCAGAGTCCCACTGAGCCTCTTTGGGCCGCTTGGCTCTCGAGCTGCATCAGCGTGGGCCACTCTAGACTACCTCCAAACAGCCATTCTCCCGTCTCAGACAGTTCTTTCAGCCACTGCCTGCTGGGAAGATACACAGAGGTGATGAGATAAAGAAAAATTTCTGATTAAGTAGTTTTATACATACTTGGAAAAAATTAACTGTGATAAACTATGAATAACAAAAGATTTGCTGTCTGGAAGATTTTTAGTGTCCAGTTCAGTGACTTTAATTATATACACCATTTTGGTGCGTTCTGTGTTTGTCTTCTCATAACTTCTTCTAAGCTCTGCATCTCGATGATAAGATTGTGAGTGTTTTCCTGTAACAGAATTCGGGGATTTCTCTTGATTCTCTTGGCCTCTGTCTCTGTTGCCCAACACACATGCTGTCCTGAGGCAGGCGGTTACTGGAGGAAGCAGGTCACTTGTTCACAGATGCTGGGTTACAATCATGTGGCGTTTTTCTTCTCAGAATATGCATCAAAAGTTGCCACATACTTTGAGTATCCGTAGTCGCACTTCTTCGTCCTTTGAGTGATAGGCTGGAGTCGTTGAAAAGGAACGTGGCTGAACAGGTGAAATGTGTTTTGATGAAGGCAGAATGTTTGACTCTGAGGCATCATGATGATCTGGAGACACTAGTGCTGGCCCAGGAAGTGGTTTCAAAAAGACGCTCTGAAGTGGAAGGTCGCCTCCTGAGGCGTCTGTGACCAGATATGTAACTTAATGTTTTCATAATCTCATTACGGTTTGGCTTTACCCCGTGCCTGTGCACACACATGGTTGCACACACACACAATTGTGTGTAGTTTCTGTCTGGAATAAAAGCGTCGGCCCCACTGCCACCCCTTTTTGGGGCTCTCAGACTTCAAAATAATGGGAAGGGGAAACTGGGGCTTTTCCTCTTTTTTCCTGTTATAATAGTCACAACTTTGGAGGATTTTACCTGAAGGAAAGATGGAGGCCAGGAGATGTAACCAGGAGGTTAAGTGCCCCCACAGTAAGCCACTTGAAATGGTCCCAAGGAGCTGTCCCTGCTCAGTGCAAGTTCCTTCCTTACTGGGGAAAAGCACCTGCTTAAGAACAGTAGTTTCCTTTGGACCTAATAATAAGCATAATGAATATCCGAAAGGTATTATAGCAAAGGATCAAACTATTTTCTCATTAAAGTGATAATTAAGGTTCAATAAATAAAATGAGGACGAAAACTTCTGCTAGCACAGGCCTGATCAGTGGAATCAGTGGTTCCTTCAAGAAGTTTTCCCATCCTTTCATCGTGTGAAGTATGTAAATGCTAAGGAAAAGGCTAGTCTCCCTTCACACACGCCCCCTCAGAGGAAAGTACACGGCGAGTTTGGTGATTTTTATCACGATGGTGGGGTGCTTTTACGTAGGTTCCTTTTTTTATTTTTACCCCCTAAGATTACTATGTCTATCCCATTATCTTTGTCGAAGTCGTTTAATTTCCCTTTTCCCATAAGTTATCGGTTTTACTGCTTTTGAAATCTACACCCTGTGTCATTAAAGTCTAGAATACTTGAAGTTGCTTGGCATCATAATGTACCTTTGAAACGATCTCAGACGTTTTTGAAATTAAATCCATCTTGAGATCTGTTAGATAAGACACCCGTCATTAGGAAGACACCTTCCAGTGAAACCATCCACGCCCAGCTTGGGGCGTCTTACTGCCCCAGAGATTGATTGTTTCGGGCCATGATTAGCACCGGAAAAAAATGAACAGACTACAGCTGCTGCCTCTCTACTGATAAAAGTTTGTTCATTTTATTATCCTTGGGATGTGCACAGTTAGGAATTGTTTTAACGGGTTTATACTTCGTCGTTTGCCTTCAGATGTTTTCGTATTGCTTTAGGGCAAAGTTAGCCATTTTGGAAGGTCTCCATATTTGTCAAGCGAGCCCATCCAAATGTATCCTCTTGCTTCTCTGTCATCGTCACTTTTCTTGTCACTTGCACCTTCCTCTGTCTGCACAGGTCCATGGGTCTTCTCCGAGGGATGCATTGGAAATGACAGTTCATTAATGCTCTACTGTAATCGATGTTCTGTCCTTCCCTTCTCAGGACTCTGCAGACAGTGGGACCATCTCATGCCAGGACCTACACCGTGGCTGTTTATTTCAAGGGAGAAAGAATAGGCTGTGGGAAAGGACCAAGGTATGCGAAGAAAATCAGCCTCTTACAGTGATTAACTGTGTGTCTGATTCCAAATCTCTGCTTTTTTCAACTTTTGAGTATAGAATGCTTGAAAGTAATAGACTAGATGCTGGAAACCCATGTCCTCACGAAGCCCTGGCTTCAAACCGGGTGAGTTCCATTCTGTAATGGGCTGCAACCCTCTTAAGAAGGACCTCGTTCCAGTTGCACGGGCAGATTTGTTAGCGTGCACTCAGTACAGGCCTTTGGTGAGGCATGTAAAATGTGTCATGCTGTGTTACGTACCTTCACGTCAGAACTGACTCATAGCTGACCCTCCAGTGACTTTTCAGAGGCTGTAAGTTCTGCGAGAAGAGATTGCCCATCTTTCTCCCACTGAGCAGCTGGTGGATTTAAACTACTTGCCTTTGGGTTAGTAGCACAGCCCCTTAACCACTAAGCCACCAGAGCCCCATTGAATCCGTGGAGACATTTGAGTGCCTATTGTTCCTCTCAAGAGCTTTATGGAAATGTTAATATCTTCATGTAAAAATAATTACGTCTAATAGCACCTTCCCTTGAACCTTCCAATCTTTATCTGAAGCTGAACAGTGATTTGAAATCTACGTATGTGTGTATATATTCTTTCCCACTTTAAACTTTACACTGAGGATATTCAAACTTCAGTAAGACTTGCTGTAAATGGAAGGCATTTTATTGCAAAATGAAAAGTGTGAAATGAATAACTAAAACAGACTTGTGCAAATATGAAAATTCTGCGTGCTCTTGTTTATATTCCCATTTATGCAGCCGGGTCTGTGACAGTAACCAGGGAGTCAGATGCTCCAGATACGAAAATCCACTAGCAGGATTTGTAGCCATATTTTGTGTTTTAAAAAAATGTTTTAGATTAAAGAGTACTTTGCCATTTTTTTTTAAACAGTATTCAGCAAGCAGAAATGGGAGCAGCAATGGATGCACTTGAAAAATGTAAGCCTATCTCTTTTTCTGTAATTATATGTTCATAATGTAATGAGTTTTTTATGGAAAGATAATGGTGAAATAGAAAATGGAGAATACTGATAATATGTGATCCTGTTTTCTTCCTAATTGTTCTCTACATAAAGTGCAGTAGAACTTGAGATATATTGAAATTGGGCTTATAATGAAGGAGGGAAAAAAAATCTTGAGTGTGTTTCGTTGTTTGTTTTCCTCTTTTGCATAATATCCTACTCCGAGCCCCGTTAACCCCTGTAAACAGTGTAGTTTGTTTCCTTCCATGTTGTTCTCTAGACTTCTAAGATCTCAGCAGATGCTGTACATCTGGCCATAACCAGCCTGGAGGCATAAGGCAAAGTAACAGTGCTGCCTTGGATGGTCCAGGCTGTGTGTCAGTGTGGCTGGGCCAGGCGTCTCAGTGGTGCTCATGCAATGATGTAGTCACCCTCCGTTTTGTGATCTGCTCTCTCATCCTCCATTGACACGTATTTTCACACAAACCTTAGTCCTTTGTAACCAAACTGTATTGAGAAGGGAGGTGCTGTTGTTGTTGATTGCCGTCAAGTCAAGCACGACTCATAGCGACCCTGTGAACAAAAGACCTGAAGCCTGTCTATAACTATAATCATTTCTCAAAGTTCATTGAGTTTTTAGAGGCATGTGGTTTAGGAAGTGGTTGCCACTCCTGCTTCCAAACCTGTGAGGGCAACAGAGGCTGTTGCCTGGAGCTCTGGTGGCCCTAGTGAGAGAAGCTGCCCTGCAATCCAGAAGGCACGCTATTTCAGACTACCAGCTGCTCCAGGGGAGAAAGATGGGCAATCTCCTCTTGTGCACTTAACTACCTCTGAAAACTCGCTGGAGGGTCAACTATGGGTCGGTTCTACAGTACAACAATGGGAAGGGAGGAGTAGGTGTATATTATAAGTAACACTGAGCCATCTGGAATGGTTCCAGTTCATTCGTTCTTTCTTTCTTTTCTTAATTATTATTTTCTCCAGTTCATTCATTCTTTCTCTTTATGTGTGTTGAGTTTAAATTGTGGTGTTTATTATGAAAGTCAACAGGCCACAACTCAGGATAGCAACAAGCAAGAGTATGCGGTTAATAACCACACAGTCTCACAAACCAGATAACATTAACAGGCTGTCTAGCTTGGCAACAGTATACAGTTACCACGCAATCCCTCAGTCCTGCAACTTGGGTAGGGGTCTCTGACTCGTGTTCTGTCGAAGAGCAGTCCCACGTCAGATACACCCAAATAAGCTAGCAGCACTCCCAGATCAGACCACTGTGCTGCTCAGTCTAGGCCTCTGTTTTCCATTCTCCAGCAGGCTTGGGCTGTCAGCTAAGTCAGGCCGCTCCTATCATTGGTCTGCCTCTCATCTGCAGAGGCTATGTTGCTTCTTTCTTAATGGCTGCATAATATTTCACGCTGTGCCTATAATGTGTTTTATTTAGCTCTTCTTCTTATTAATGAATGTTTGTTCCTGACTTTTTATCACTGTAGAGAAAGAACTGTTTGTAAATTGCTGCTTTTATTTCTTAGGATAGGTAGATTGAAGAAAGGTAGCATATTGAACATGTAGAGAAGTGCATAGCCTTTTGTAAACTGAAGCTTAGGAAAGGACTGTCTCTTCCAGAAAACATTTTGCTGCATGGCAGCACCCATGGGCAAAACATGATGTGCAGTTTCTATTACGCTTCAAGTGCACAGGCTCAATGAGGTGGGGAAGAGCAGAGTGCGGAAGCTGCAAATGAAGAGGCCCGGGCTTCTCAGCCTTGGGAGAGATTCCAGGGAGGCGAGGAGCCAGGAGCCAAGTGGAAATCAGCACAGGATGTTTTTCCGATGAGAGAGAGCAGGCCATTAAGGTGGACAGATGTTCTTCCTGCCAGGTTCAGGGTTCACCGGATTGCCACTGTTTTAAATTTACTCCCTTGGGGAACCTTGCCATCCATTATATATAAATGCACAGTCAAATTCAAATAAAGGTGAAATTCTGTTTCCACCAGTAAAGTTGTTAAAGATTAGTTTTGTTTTTTGTTAAGTGTGTTTCAGTTGTGAAATAGTGGTGGAGAGACATATGAGCCTCAAAAACTAAAATACTTAATATTTGGCCATTTATATAAGAGAGTTTAGCAACCTCTGGTATTTCCGTAAGTAATTCCAGACTGTCAAACAACATCAGATCCCTGGTACTTAGGCCTTCCTACACACACTGTAGGTGTGCTGGATTTAAATGTACTTGGCAGCAGTTTGGCAGTATGTTTCAGATGTTTAAGAAGCCCTGGTGGCTTCGTGTGTAACGTGTCGGACGGCTAACTGAAAGGTTCTCAGTTCAAATGCACCAGACACTGTGCTGCAGAAAGGTGGCCAGTCCCCACCCATAAAAATGTCCAGCCTCAGAAACTCCGTCAGGGCAGCTGCGGTCAGCCAGACTGAGCTCAGCAGCAGTTTGGTTTGGTTTGGTTTGGATTTTGTCATGACTTTAAGGAAATTTCTACCCTTTGATCCAGAGATCCCATTTCTGTGGACCAAACATGAAGTGATAATTATACTGTGATAATTGTGACCTAATTTGAATGGTGTTCTTAGGTACAGTCGAGTCACCTGAGACTCATAGCGACCCTGAGAACAGCCGATGTGAGCCCTCCCTTGGCCTGCACCATCCTCACAATGTCCAAGGTGCTCCAGCTCATGGTTGCAGTTACTGGGAGGGGGGGGTCTTCTCTTTCTCTGGCCCTCCACCTTTCCCAGCATGACATCAGTTCCAGGGTCTGGCTTCTCCTGACAACATTCCTAAAGTGTATGCAACAAAATCTCGCCATCTGGGGCTTTAAAGAGCACTCCGACTGTACCTCCTCCAAGACACACCTATTTGTCTTTCCCGTCCATGGAATATCCCATATTCTTCAGCACGACTCAAAGTCATCAGTTCTTTTGCCATCCTTACTCATTGTCCAACTTTAAGTTGCATAAGAAGTAATTGAAAAGATCATCACTTGGAATAGCAAAGGGTGGGGGGAAGCCTTTTTAAAAAATAATTATCTGATTATTTAACAATACCTATAAAAAAACACCAAACCCATTGCCATTGTCAGGCCAATTCCAATTCATAGAAACCTTGTAAGATGGACTCGAATTGTCCCTTGGTGTTTCTGAGGCTGTAATCCATCCAAGAACAGATGACCGGTCTTTTTCCTGCAGAGCTGTGGTGAGTCCACACCACTGGCTTTCACTTTGCAGTCTAATACTTACCCAATGTGCCCTTAGGGCTCTGGTTTAACAGCATGGAAATGTTTCAATAAATTATGACATAGTTCAGAAGTTGGTAAACTCTGTATAAATGGCTTGGTAGTAAGTACTTTAGTCTTTGTGGGTCACAGATGTTTATCACAGCTACTCATACCAGCCATTATAGTGTGAAGGCAACCAAGGTAATATATACATTAACAAACCTTTCAAATTTACAATACAACTTTATTTGTAAAAGCCAGTTGAGGGCTGGATTTGGCCAATAAGCCATAATTTACTTACTCTTTCTGTACTAAAGTACTTTAATATTTTGCAGGCATTAAAATCATATTTTGAAAGACTAATGATTTGGGAAAATGCTTACAAGAGAAGAAATAGGAAAAGACTATACTCATAAATACTGTTTTGTGCTGATTTTAAATGTTCATCTGCCCATGTACTATATGCATATTTGCATTGTGTATGTTTCCATATAGTATAACTTTAATTTGTAGTAAAAAAGGTTGTGAAATTATATTCTGAAAATTTTTTAGTGGTTAGATCTGAGTGGTAGAATTTTTTAAAAACAGGAATTCCATTTTACAGTGGAATTTATTGAGAAAGTAAGGTCACTATGTAGAAGCTTCACTATGTAGAAGCTTGCTTTGAAACGGTCTTTTTTATTTGTCTGATCTTTTGATCAGACAAATACTCGGAGTCATACTTGAAATCCATGAAATAATTCATGATCTTAAGGGACCAGTCTAGCACCATTTAGGGAGTGAACTTTATTTCTGCGGTATTTCTAAAATAGAGGTGTCATTATGCTTCTCTTGTTTAAAATAATTCTCCACATCTTAACTATAAAAGTCTTCAGAGATTCCCTAGAACCTTCCACAGGCTTTTCCCACGACCTTGGCGTGAGGATGGGACACTATAATAACAAGGAAGGGAATTTAGAATGAGGTGTATAATGTAGAGAATCATCTTGTTTACTTTAACCTTAAAATAAAAAATCTTTGTTTGCCTCCAAACATGTTGTGTTCTCCCATGTCCCTTACTCTGTTTCCGTCAGTGTGTCACCTCGGGGGTAGCCCAATCCCTTACTAGTTATTTAGCACAGCATTTGTTCCTCATCTGTTGCCCAATAGACTTTGCAGTCCTCATTCACGCATGCGTCCCTTTGTGATTCTCTGAGCACAAACGTTGAATAAGTAGATCGGTAATGGTTCTGGTTCTGTGCTTAAATTTGTACGCCGTGGCCACACTCCAGTTAGATACACAAATGCCAGCTGCAGTGTGAAATTTCTAAACCTGAATCAAGATTTCTATTGTGTCAGCATTGTCATACAGGGTCAAACATCAAACTAAATACGTATTGAGGGATCTATTTAACCAAGTGTACTGCTTGAGCTGGCTGCTGGGCACTTACAGCTCTGGACTTTGCACAGTTAACTTTGAAAATAGAATTCAGCATGTCATCATAGAACGTCCTTTTGTCCATCTGAGCCCCTTTCCCGTCATTCTTCAGTAACTTTAACTCTTGGTTTAAAAAAAGAAAAATGGTCTGAAGTTTTTAAAAAGATCCAGCTACCTTTCCCCAGATCTTTTAATCTCTCCCTGGAAATGACTTCTTGCCAGGAGGGTGATGATAAAACATCTAGTTGGAGACATTAAAACAACCTGCATCTGTGTTTACAATTTCTGCATCTTTTGGGTACCTTTTATGTTCTAGTTCACATCTGAAATAAATATAAAATCAAGGATGCCTGTCCCCAAAGCCCAATGTATTTCTGAATGCTAAAAGAGTTTGCTCACATACAAGTGTATGTTTGTACATGCATATATATATTTATTTTGCATCATTCTGGCACTGGTGGCGATCCTTCATTAAATATATAATATGTCTCCTTGTATCAGATAACTTTCCCCAGATGGCCCATCAGAAGCGGTTCATTGAGCGGAAATACAGACAAGAGTTAAAAGAAATGAGATGGGAAAGAGAACATCAAGAGAGAGAACCAGAAGAGACTGAAGACATAAAGAAATAAAGAAGGGCATGGACGTGGTGGCGTATTCATTTGTTTAATAACTGTGACTGCTGCCCATTGAGACCTGGCCTATTTTCCTATAGACAATGAATGAAGTGTGACCATTGAAATATAACACCAAGTCAAATGCTGTGTTTTCTGATCTAAGATTCTGCTTTTAGCAGGTTTGTCTTTATTATAGAGTGTTTGATTTTCCCTGTTTTTATGGAAAATGTCACATTGAATGTACATAATCTCTCTTAACGTTGCTCATTAAAGGAAGAAAGTCAAGAAGCATATCTTGTATACAGTAGATCCAGGTGGTAGTTTTTGTTTTGTTTTTCTATCCCAATCTCATCTCGTGAACCAGACCTCCAGATGATAAGTGAAAACTCACTTTAGCTATTTTGACTACACTCTATCAGACATCTATACTTTTTAAATGCTCTGTAATTATAATTGGATATTTTAGGTTTTATATGAATGTTTATCACATTCGCAGCTACAGACATTGAACTTAACCCCTCTCCAAGCAGAAGGATTCACTTTGAAGTTTAAGTGGGGGAAAAGAGCTGGTGTTTGAGTCCATTGTATATTTCAAGTCCTTGAATGAGGAACAAACATAATTCCAGGCTGGGTGACTTTTATCCATCAGGTGCTCATAGCTGGGGCTTCGCGGACTCTCTGAGGGAGTTACAGATGTGGGGTTATGCTGCCATCCGAAAGGCAGCACCACTCTGGTGGATGGAATCTACCTGCAGGTCCACAGGAGAAATACGTGCAGTCTCCTCTCGTGTGATATACAGCCTTGGAAACCTGATGGAGATGGTTCAGCTTGAGAGCAGTGAGGAGTTTTTGTTGTGTTTTGGTTTTTGAGGTAGATGCACTTCAGAGAAGCCTGAGGGTTTCCTGGACTTGTGTCCAGTTCTGTGTCTTTGCATCTCGGGAGGAAGTAGGACACAGGAGAAGCAGGTCGTCATATTCGTTAGCCTTCTCAAAGGACCTCTGCACTAAAAGTCTAGTGTTACATTAAAAGACATGATCGTTTTAAAGATGTTATTTTAAATGGAATTCTACTGGAGTTTTTATAAATAAAATGAAAACTTTTAAAATACAGATGTGTTTTTATTCATTATGTTAACAAATATGTAGTGAGTGCCCATGATGTATCAGCAAATGTTCTAAGCTCGGGGATACAGCAGTGAACCCGTCTGGCATGTCAGAACCCTTGATAATTGGTTTTTCCCAGCCATTATGTTAGTTCCTGGTGGGGGGACGGGCATGATCTCCAGCTACCTTAACTGTGGACACAGGGTCTGTTCATGGTATATTCAATTTATCAATAGCTGTGAGACCCATTTAAGAGAATGTTTTCCAGACTGTGAGAGACAGTGAAGAAAGGTGAAGAGATTGGCAAGGTGTAACCAGAGGAACCCTGGAGATGGATCCACAGGTAAAGGCTTTGCTTGCTGGATAATTGAAGGAAAAGCTGAATTGTAACTTCTCTGAGAGAAAAGTTTGCTGGATGACTAAGGAAACCAGAGGCTTCTTGCATTTGTGTTGCTGAACTGAACTTGAACTTTGACCAATTGAGGACTTCTTCTGTTTTGTTAATCTGGTTTAGGACTAAATCAGAACTAAATCTGGATTTACATTGTATGATATTCTTTGCCTCCTTTACTGCCAAACCTGTTTCCCTAATAAACCTTACAACTAAGTCTAGTCTGTGAGTCAATTTACAAAGAACGCTGGATCCAACGATTAGTAGAAATAGATCACAGGAGCATGTGGAGTGGCATTTGTTTGTTGTTGTTGGGTGCTGTTGAGTTGAGTACAACTCACAGCAACCCTGTGTACAACAGTTCTGAACCCTCCTCTATTCTGTGCCAGCCTTGTCTCTGGCATTAACCCAGTCACTGAAGCAATTCATCTCGAGGGTCTTCCTCTCTTACACTCTCCCTTCACTCTCCCAAGCATGGTGTTCCTCTCCATGTCCTTGCAGCATGTCCAAAGTATGCCAGACTAAGCTTCGGAATCCTTGACTCCAAGGAGCAGCCCAGTTTCCCTCTCTCTAGGATGTACCTGTTTGTTCTCCCAGCAGTCCATGGTATATTTAAGACTCTTCTCCAGCACCACAGCTCAAAGGCATCACCTCTATCATCTCTAGTTCTTGTTCAGTCTGGATCAGGTACACCTTTGTCTCCAGACTGACATCGTTGCCTTCAGTACTCTGGAGAGGTCCTTGTCAGCAGACCTTCCAGTGCAATTTGTCTTTTGATTTCCTGGATACTGGTACCAAGAGTTTTGATTACTATTCAATGGTTTGGTGAGGTCCCTAACTGCACACTTTCCCAAAGCAGTGCGTGTTCTGATTTCCTGACTGCTGGTACCAAGGTTGTTAATTGTGGATCCAGGTAAGATGGAGTTGTTGACAGTTTCAGTCTCTTCCACCATGATGTTGCCTATTGGTCCTATGGTGAGTGTTTTCTTGACATTGAGATGCAATTCATACCAATGGCTGCATTCTTTGATCTTCTGCAACAAGTGCTTTAAATCCTTCTCACTTTCAGCAAGCAAGGTTGTGTCATTGCATAACACAGATTATTGGTGAGTCTCCGCTCAATCCTGTTGCCACATTCTTCATAAAGTCCAGCTTCTGAATTGCTCAGCATACAGATTGAATAGGTGTGGAGAGAAAATACAACCCTGGCACCCTTTCTTCTTAATTTTAAACCATGCAGTGTTTCCCAGCTCTGTTGACAAAACAACCTCCTGGTCCAGTTATAGGTTCCATCGAGATTTGGATTCTCCGCAGGACAGTTCTGCTCTGCCCTACAGGGTCACTGAGCCAGAATCAACTTGGCAACAGCAGATAAAATGTTAGATATGCATTGCTGAAAATTTGGAAAATGTGATTCACTAGTAGGAGGAAACTTGAAGTGTTGAAAAGGTAGAAACGAAGCGTACACAGAAACAAATGACTGGCCAGTGCCTCACCCGTGGGTGCTGTGTGTCCATCCTGTCAGACCTTTTGTGTGTAAATGTGAGACCACTCACAAAAAAGTGTACTTTCAGGAGGCCACTGGGGATTCCACAGCCTTTTTTGTCTTTTTGTTTTTTAACTTCTTTATTGTGAATTTAATGAAAATTTATAGAAAAGTTTGATTTTCATTCATTCGTTATTGCGTATTCTTCTACCTACCCCCACAATTCACTTTACTTAAAAAAATCACTGTTGCATAATTTCCTTCCTCCTCCCACCCTTCTCCCGGTCCACCTTGCTGTGTACCTTTCGTTCTGGACTGTTATACAAATAATGCCTAGTCGTATATTCCTTTTAAACAGTTTTTTCCTTCATCAGCCTTTTCTTTTTACTAACCAATAGATCATGAACCTTTTTCAGTGCTGCCTTTATATTTACAGGTAATATATAAAAAAATTTTATTTAGGGGAGCTCTGGTGGCCTAGTGGCAAGAAGCTGCACTGCAATCCCAGGGGCGCATGGTTCAAATCCACCAGATGCTCTGCCGGGAAAGAAGGGACAATCTCCTCCTGTACCAGTCAGATCTGATTTGACGGTACACAGGCACACAAAATAATAATAAAATTAAAAAATATTAAATTAAAAAAATTTATTTACAGCAACCTTGTTCATTATTATCAATTCCAGACATCATATATAATTTATTAATCTAATGAAAACAATGCAGGTCATAATAGTGTCATGCACATGCTGGAAGGGTTGTGTGTAGCTGACCCTCCAGCAGGTTTTCAGAAGCAGTTAATGGCACAGGAGAAGATTGCCCATCTTTCTCCCGCAGAGCAGCTGGTGGATTCAAATTGTCTACCTTTGGGATTGCAGCGTGGCTTTTTGCCACTAGGATACCACAGTTCCCTTAACATAAAATTTTTTATTTAAAAATTTTCATTTACAACAATCTTATAAATTCCAGATATATAATTTATGAATCTAATGGAAGCTGTGTAGGTCATAAGTACTGAGTGTTAGTATCACAAATAGGGCCATGGTCTGCTTGAGGCATTGTGTGTGCAGGAAGGGTGTTGGCAGGAGGGTCCAAGGCATGCTTGGAAAGGCGCAGGGTCAGAGAAAGTGAGGAAGATCGTCCAGGATGTGTATTAACAGTGTACACACACACACACACAGAGCTTCTCTGATACTGTTAGTGGCCAGTTGAGTCAGCTCTGAATGACCCTGAAACCAGGCCCAGTCATTCTCCAGACAGCTGCTGCGCTGAAGCCCATTGTTTTCTGTCACCATGTCAAGCCAGCCTATTGAAGGCCTTCCTCTTTCTCACTGACCCTCTATCATCTTTACAGAAGCCACGATTGGCTACTTGCTGCCCCCACAGAGTCACTGGTAGGGTAGAACCACTGACTTTTTCATTCACGTCCCAGTGCTTAACCACTGTGCCACCAGGACTCCTTCAATTGGGAAGCCGGTGTACGAAAATCAGCCTTTCTCAGAACACAGCTTCTCCCCACCCAGAGCCGACCTATTGCTTCCTCTGGCAGCTCTAGGGCCACGCCTCTTTCCTTACAGCACCTTCTTATATTTGATGAATAAGCTAAGACACCCTAGAGTTGTTCTGTGCCATAGATTTTAACCGACTCGTAGCTGACCCGCTCACGGGATTTCAGGAACTGTACGTTGTGTGGGGCTGGAGAGTTGGGGGCAGTTCCTATCTTTCTCTTTCAGAGCAGCCAGTGGACGATGAAACTCTGTCTCCCACACTTTGAGCACGTAGCCAGGAGGGGCCAGTCCTTGGGGGGAAAAAAGACATGGTGCTTTAAGGTGGAGAGTCAGAGAAAGAGGCTGACCCTCCTCAAGGTGCATTGACAGAGTGACTCTAATATGGGCTCAAGCGGATCAGAAGTAATGAGGGTGTCACGGGACAAGGCGAGGTTCAGCTCTGTCAATGGTGTCACTATGATCCTTGGTTTACTGGTGGTACCTAACAGCAACAATGGAAGACAGGTTTTGGTAATGGGTTGTTGGGTAATCTGCTTCTCAACTGAAAGGGGCCTGGACCTGCAGTGGTTAAGCACTGGGGCAGTAACTCAAAGGTCAGTGGTTCTAACCTACCAGAGGCTCCGTGGGGAAAATATGTGGTCGTCTGCATTTGCAAAGACTGTAACAGTGGAAGCCCAATGGGGACACTCTACCCTGTCACTTAGGGAGGCTGTAAGGTGACAGTTACCTTGATTAACACCTCCACCTCCTTATGAGGACCCTGCTCGTACAAGCAGTTTGCTACTGACTGTTAACCAAATACATGG